AGAGGGATATTCACCGGCGTTCAGGAGTACTCGGAAGAGATGGGTTTTAGCTATCTTTTAAAGGATACCAGTGCATCCGTAATCCGAGTGGGAATGGGAAGATAATTCCACCAGAGTGGATCATTGGATGAAAACATTGTGGGAAGTAGCCTACAGTCTCTCTGCGATGGCACCACAAGACTGTGCTCACACCCAAACCGAAGGCTCCTGTGGTTATCACAATGGCTTTACAAGCGGAAGGTCTCCTGTTAGAAAGTGGGGGGAAACATGCAGATTTGCTTTTATGCACATTCTTACTTGGCGTGTATGCTTAAACCTGCGGGGAGCTTGTCACGCTGAGTAGGCTTTGTCCGCTTGATTGACAAGCGCGTACACCTTGTTCTATCCATGCAGGCCTTTCTTCCCAGCTGAAAGTGCATGTGGGGTTTCTGTAGTGTAGTGGTCATCACGTTCGCCTAACACGCGAAAGGTCCTCGGTTCGAAACCGAGCAGATACAGCGCTCTTCTTTTGGTGCGAAAACAATAGCATCAACTGCCGCCTTAGGAGGGTATCTGCCCCTTGCTCCACTGTAGGATTCCGTAGAGTAGTGGTTATCACGTTCGCCTCACACGTGAAAGGTCCCCAGATCGAAACACAGCGGGAACAGCCTTCGGCTTTTATGAAAATTGTCAAACCAGGCTTCTGTTGTGCACTACCATACACTGAAAACTTTCTTTGTGCAAAGCGGTGTGAGGCTAGAAGTTTGAATTCACATTTTGGTTATCACATTTACTTTACATGCAAAAGGTCCCCTGTTCGAAACTGGGTGGAAACATAAGTTAGGCAGACTCTTTTGTCAACAGGTGCTTACAATAGAGGAGGTATTCAGTGATTCAACAAGACGAGGCAACGCATACGAGAAGTGCTATTTATTCCATCTTACTTGTTTGTGCTCAGAGAATTTAGTGCAAGAGTCAGAGTTTTGTTTTCTTTAGAGAGAGGGCTATTCACCGGGGTTCAGGTGTACTCTGAAGAGATGGGTTTTGGAGAGACTTGGGGGAAAGATGCAGATTTATTTTTTATGTTTTGCACTTTCTCAATTGGCTCTCTGCTCATGGATGATTAACGCTACAAAGTCCTTGCTCCAAGCGAGGCAAACGGCATGTTTGCTAAAACCTTCAGCGAGCTTGTCACGCTGAGTAGGGTTTGTCGGCTTGATTGACAAACGCGTACACCATGTTTTATTCTTGCAGGCCAGACTTCCCTGCTGAAAGCACTTTTGGGGTTACTGTAGTTTAGTGGTCATCAGGTTCACCTTACACTCGAAGGCAGTAATTGCATCAATAGTGTTAAGCACTACCATAGAGAATGAATGGGAAAAGTTAAGGAAAGTTAAGCTTAAAGGGCCATAAAACCCCCTCGTTTCAGCAGGGTGTTTTCACACCTCTACTTTGGAAAAAGTCAGAAAAGTGGGCGTGTCCAGCTTCGTTTAGGGGGGAGTGTCGGAGGAAGTAAAGAGGCTTGGTGTGGGAGTGTCTATTTGGGCGCGCTGAATTTCAGAGTCAAAACACACAACCACAGCGGACAATGTTACTGTGTTTACATGGACATCTGTTGTCGAATTATTTGCCAAATTATTAAATGGTGGACTTTAACTGCAGTTTGGCTCTTTCATTCAGGGAATTCATTCATGTCCCTCCCGATAAATGTGATATTTGATTCGAGGATCTGCTCTAAGCTTGTATTTTTCATGCAATGTTTGATACCGCACGGCGAATGAGAAAAAAAAAAACTCAGCATTTCCCGGAAACTTAGATGCACACGGCAGGTAGCGTCAGAAAGCCGCGTGTGTTATTCCGGTCACAAAATCCAACACGAGGTTATAGTTTTGGTTGTAACTGTTAGTGCTAACTTGTTTCCACTCGGTGCAATAGTTTGTTTGATACGAATAAAATACGAACTGAATAAACAAAGAGCACTGGTCGCTCACTTACCAAATCTGTAGAAACAGGACAATCACCAGCAACTAGAGCCGCGTCTTTATTTAGAGGAGACTACAAGCGAATCTGGATCTCAGCGTTTGCAGATGAGAACAGCTCTCAGGTAAACAATGTTCCTCCTTAGACACGTAAGTTATTTTTGTCGCGCGTCGCGTACACTGTTAATCCACGCGTGAGTCTGCGCTCTCACAGAGAGAAAATGAAAAAAAACTTAACGGCAGCAAACTATAAAAGCAACACTTCACGCTTGTTTTGCCAATACAACGTGGCGTCTCTGCCGTCTACACTCTGACAGCAATGAATATTAATGAAGTTGCACAATAGAGCGCACTGATTGGTTTGAACCAAGCTTTACTCATGCATTAATGCAACACACTGTAAGACGTAATAAGACTCACTCTGGCACAGACGCCCAGTCTGCACGCTGGAATACAACGCTATTATGTCATGGCCGTGACGCAGCTTCAAAAATTCGTTTCAAACCGGAAGTATGAATTTGCTTAAAATAACGCAAAAACAACCAATTTACACTTTTTTGTGAAATATAGGTGTCCTAATAGTGTTTTTAGCAGTGTGGGACACATATACGACTGTCAACAGCTCAAAAAATGTGTTTTGGTGTTTCGTGACCCTTTAACTATTGGCAGCTGCCGGGTGGGCGCATGGTCTAACACGGTTGAGCTTATTCTCTTGTCGAGTTTTAGGTGTCTTTTGAGAATAAACCAACCAGAGTCTTATCTCTCATTCCTCTTAGAAATCAGTTGTGTCGCGCCGTAGTGCACATTTGCTATTTAAATGATGAACTTTGTATGTGGAAAAACTGAACTCTTTACTAGTGAGAAAACAGTTAAAAAGAGCATCTGTAGCGCGAGAATGAGAGAATAAGTCTTCTCATTCTTTACTTTCACTTTCACTCTCTTGGATAGGGAAATGTGTTGTATGCACAGACAACACATTAGCCTATACATAATTAATTTTGTTTGTTAAGCGCAACGATTTGTTTCAAAACTAATTCTAAATTCAGTTCTAATTTCCCGCAAACAAATAAAGGAACAATAATAACAAAGTGTGGTCAAAAAACTGAGTTATATCCAAATACACATGCTATGCCCCATGTGATCTAAAACTAAACAGGTGGAAAAATCTAACCTTTTTTTTAATAAAACAAACATAAATATGCATATAATATATAATACTGCTAATAATAATAAAATTATACAAAAGCAAATTGTTATAAATAAACTGAAAAAACCTGAAAACAGAAAACTGTAGAAGGCGTAAAAGTATGGTTTTAAATTTATGTAGGCTAGAAAATAATATTTTTTGTAATATTTCAATCTTTTAATTCTTTTTCATTTGTAAAGATATTTGCGTAATACTGGACACCCTGTATGAACGAAGCAATGTGTAAGCAAGGCGCACAAATAATACGCTCTGCACTGGACTTTTAGACCTGCTTTGATCTGGTCTATTGAACAGACTATTTTGGTTCCTCAAAATAGCAACGCGCAAGCAATGTGCCTTAATACGCCTCCTTTTTTAGACTAGAACGCCTATGGGTAGCACAAATGCATTTGCTTTTTAAACAGCATGGTGCAAAACGTCAAAACGACTCTTGTGCCATGCTGAAACTAGCAAACACATTTGCGTGGCGCCTTGCACCTCATTGTGCCAGGTCTATGATAGGGCCCTCAATCATTCTTACACAGATTATATGCCATCAAAACTCCAACTTTTGGTTTCTTAATGTACACATTAAAGTTTATTTTGCTAATAAATAAATCCTACGAATAATAGACATAATAATTATTATTCTGTCCCAACCTATTGTATTGTCCCAATAGCGTAAGAACAGCAGAAAGCAGTTTGGGTAACTTCTGTGACTTTACTGGCAATTGTTCTTCTCAGTATCTTTTTTTAAAAACTACAATAGGGGAAAATGTATGTACATATTCACATTTACTTTAACATGTTCAATTCAGCAAGCAGTACAATTTTACTAATGTACATAGTTTTTATGCAAACCTTAATAAGCATATACAAAAAAAAATCTATTAAATAAGACCACTAAAATCAAACATTAGCTAAATTATCTTATTTGTTACACCACCAGCATAACGTGTAAGCTATAAAGAAGTGTTTGTACAACAAAATGCAGGTGGTAAAAAACTGATAATAATCAAATGGCCCATAAATATTTACAAAAATAGAGCTTTAGTAAAAATAGAGCACTTAGGACATATATTTTAACGCTTAAATCAGCCACAGCATTGAAACGCATGTGTCAACCGTACACTAAGAGAAAACGAAAGTAAAACTAATCTGAATGCAGTACTTTAAATGTCGACTAGGTGGCAGGTCAAAATCACAAGTGGCTAGACTCAACTGCACTACAATGATAGTGGTTCAAAAATATATGTGTTGGCAGGCTGAATCGCTCGATATTTTTGATATTAGTTGTGGGCCGGAGAGAGGAGGAGGGTCAGCCGTAAATGGAGGATAGTGGGCCGGCAGTGTGAGACTGCTGCCTTAGATGCTGGCTAGAATTTGGTCACCTGACGTCACAACCTAAATCAAACCTAATATTAACGTCTTATGACGTTGTCTCCATGCTGTGCTAGAACACAATGTAACTACAGTGACAAGCTTTTAAATAGATCCATTGAATGGGCAATGTTAAGATAAAAGAGTTCCTGCCAGACCCAGAGATTAACTGAATGGATTAAAAATAGTACAACTCAAGTCCAGGGCTTAAACTCTTGGGGAGTTGTAAAATAAATGTTCAAAAAAATAATAATAATAAATAAAGTGGGGCGTTTCATTAAACCTTAAGTATACCCAGTAAGACCTTGATTAGCTTGTTCAGGTGTGTTTGATTAGGGTTGGAGTTAAAATCTGCAGGACACCGGCCCTCCAGGAACAAGTTTGGTGACCACTGCAATAAACAGTGCTGCTTGCTGAAACATATTAAGTGATTTTGCAATTTATATGGTATTCCTCTCATTTATGTATTAATAAAGGAATGGACAAAAGCTGGGAGGAGGAAATTGCACAAATCAGAGTCATGTTAGACCCTGCAGTGGGCACTGCATCCCGTCCTGTCCTGATACTCTCCTGCGTGTCTAGAGAAACACCAGATAGACAGAGGATTCATTGTGTGACTATCGCCCATCAGCTTCAGCTAAGCTCACTTGTCAACCCCTGGATGGTAAGATATCAAAACCAACTTGTTCACATTTGATGAGACTTGACTAAACTTTTCTTTTCATCATTTTTCAACATGCAGGATATATTTCAGGCATATTTCATTTGTTGCATGCATATGTAAATAATTTTAAAAATGATTCGCTACCGGACACTCATTTTCGTCTTTTAAAAATTTTTCATGTAGTCTTCAGCCAATAGGACCGTATACTAAAAGCCTGTATAGTACAGTTATGAAATTTGACATGCAGCTCGTGGACAATCAAAAATTAACCACAGCAGTTTTGCATTAGCTGTCTTAATCCCTCTAGCGCAACCCACTGTCCAAATTTGGTAAAATAATAAAAAAAAGCATTTATATTTAAAACTAAATCTAAGAGAAAAAAACATAATGGGATTTAAAATGGGAAATAGTATTTGTCATGAAACATCTACAACAGTGATTTCTGTCTCCTATAGTAATTTTCTTTGAAAACCTATTTTTCGAACTCCTCCTAGAACATTCATGTGATTTTCACCAAATTATACTTACATCACATATATCTGCAAAGCGTTGACATAGTTGACTCAAAAGTTGACGTCTGTCATTGTAGCTCATATTGTTTACATCGCATCAATTTGGTAAAGCACTGCCTATTAGTCAAACGTGTTAAGGCATTAAATCGTATTTCTAGGGATTGTATTCAACCACTTTTAGCTATTTTTAAATAATTTATCTTAAAATGGCTTTAAATACTGATTTTTGTTGTAGATTCTGACTATCATGGCTACCTCTATGTTTTACTTTTGTTGTGCTTTGCTCCTTTATTGTTTGTGCATGTCACAATTGTTTGTGAAATACATTCGAGCAAAAAAATCAAATGCATGGGAGTTTCAAAATCAAAACTGATGTAAATTTTGTAATGCGTTTGAGATTTGAACCTTACAACTGGAGTTGTAAGGTGGCCATTGAGCTTGTGTATGTGCACATGTGTGTGTGTGTTCGCACTCGCGTTTGTGTGTGTGTGTGTTTTAAAAAAAAGTATCCTTTGTATCATTATCAACAACAATCTGTTTTTGTCACTCTTTAGGTTCTAGACACGACTGCAGAAACACTGACAGGACTGCTGGATGGCATTGATTGGCTGCTGAGACACTCTGGAATCAAGCTGTAACCACCGAAACTGATTTATTATTATATCATAACAGGCTGCATTTCAAAATCTGATTATCTGAAAGATCCTATATACCAATCACACTGTTATTAGTGGTTGCACTTCTGTGGTGATCATCCTATGAAATTTACATAATTTGGTGACTCAAAATGTTTTATGCATTACACTTGTTTGACCTCTTATAGGTTTGACTCAATGTTGTCTGATAATTGACTGTACCATTTATTTTTATATATGTAGTTCTGTACATTATACACCTTGCTGTTTCGTATTTGCTACTTGGTTTTTACAGGGCTCAAAATGATCAAAATTGTGCTAATAAATATGTTGCACACTGCCACACCATTAAAAATAATTTTTAATACTATGATACTTTTTTAGCAAGTAAAATGCGTTTTAGTATAATGCCAGAAAAATAGTAATTTGACTAAATAATGATAAGATACTACAGAGAACTGTTTTAAGTAGCTGTAAATTGAGTATTTAAAAAACAAAAGGTCCAGTGGTCTGTTTAAAACACTGTAATACTCATACAACATGTTGTCATTCATTCATTTTCTTGTCAGCTTAGTCCCTTTATTAATCTGGGGTCGCCACAGCGGAAAGAACAGCCAGCTTAACCAGCATGTTTTTACACAGCGGATGCCCTTCAGCCGTAACCCATCTCTAGGAAACATCCACAAACACTTATTCACACACACTCATACACTATGGACAATTTCGCCTACCCAATTCACCTGCACCACATGTCTTTGGACTGTATGGGAAACCAGAGCACCTGGAGGAAACCCACACAAACACAGGGAGAACATGCAAACTCCACAAAGAAACACCAACTAAGCCAAGCATCGAACCAGCAACCTTCTTGCTGTGAGGGAACAGCACTTCGCCCAACACGCTGTCAGTTGAAGACAAATAATTTATAGAAAGCAAAAACAAAACAATCGTAGTTTTCAGAGTTTCAGTTCAATTAAGTTTCGTTCCGTTCAGTGTGGTTTAATGGTCAGAATCAGGCCGAGGACATCGTAAATTCAGGCAGCATGAGCAAAGACTTGGCAGGGCAAGCACAAAAAGGCTGGGAAGGTAGGAAGAGAGTTCTGGAGTCCAACAGAAAAAAAGGTTAACTAAAAACCATCTGTTTACCTAAATTTTATGTTGCAGGGTTGGAGGCAAACAACACTCTGGCACAGATTAGCACAAACAAGGGGAATTCACCTTGTTCTTTGCATATGATTGGGCACAGCCATTGGAATCTTTTTGCCTCGAGACAAAAAAAAGACAATCTTTTTGCCTTCCATTCCATCAATTCAATTTTAGACGCTAAAACAGCTCCTTAGCTGCTTAAGGTTGCAATTTGACATTTTCCTATTATATGCTTCTGCTTTTTCTGTAAAATAATGCAAACACCTGTTTGTAGAGCAAGTGGTTTGACCGTTTACTGTGGTTTATTATTCCTAGTTATTACTCCCATAGACGACTAAATCTGAAGTTTTAAAACAATGGCAAAACATAGCGCACTTTGCATTGAAGAATATAATCAATAAAGCTGCCCTTGCACTGCACCTTTCTCCCCATAGACTTCCATTTATATGCACGCGAATGCATCAGACCGGAAATACAAGCTCCTGCGACAAGTTTTGCAGTTCACTGTTTTGGAAAGTTCAAGCTTGAACTCTGACCTGTGAAATCGCATCACATGATTGCGTGAGACAAATCGAAGATCAAAACATGACCTCTCTGGACAGCAATTTAAAACATGGACCAATCGCTCGCTTTTTTACATGTCTAATTATCTTGTTTAATCCTGCCCCTTTTCGCAGTGCCGTGCTAAAGAACTTTGCTAATGAGCAAAGACAGGTGAAACAAATCAACTAAATGAATTAGAACGAGGGGGAGGAGAGAAACAATCAGGGGAACAAACAAAAGAACATGTGGCTAATGGCGTGGTCACACTAGAGTAGGGGTGTCCAAATTCGGTCCTGGAGGGCCAGTGTCCTGCTGAGTTTAGCTCTGACTTGCTTCAACACACCTGCCAGCAAGTTTCCAGTGTATCTAGTAAGAGCTTGATTAGCTGCTTCAGGTGTGTTTGATTAGGGTTGGAGCTAAACTCTCCAGGACACCGTCCCGCTAGGACCAAGTTGTAAATTTCGGTCCATAGAGGCCATGTTTTGATCATCGTTTGGCCTCACCTAGTCACGAAATGCGATTTCGCACGTCTGAGATCACCAATGGCCCGTTTCCACTGAGTGGTACGGTACGGTACGATTCGGTTTGGTACGCTTTTATGGCCGTTTCCACTGTCAAAAGCCGTACAGAACCGAACCGTACCACTTTTCGGCACCCTTTCGAAAGGGTACCAACCACAAAAAAGGGTACCAAAAGGCGTAGCTAGATGCACAGCTGAACACTATTGGTTTACAGAGATACGTCATTCGCTTACGCAACAAGCCAGAATGAAAAAAAAACCTGCCATGTTTAAAATACACAATAAGAGATTACAGCGGAATCATATATACATATAAAAACGAGCCAGGGTTGTCGTCTTGTCGTCGTCTTGATGAACAGCCACAAAACAATGGAGTAGAGCAGAACTCTGTGCCTCATAGTTTTTTACGCTTTCTTGCTCATGATAATAACATGCGCTTGATTATTGATGTGCTTTTGAAACCCGATCATGTTAGACACTAAACACGAGAGTGAAGTGCAGAAAAAAGGAGAAGCCGGGGAAAAGGAGGACATTATTTCTTCAGCAAATGTAAACAAATTGCCTTGTTTTAATTTTTATCATCACCTTTTGGACTAATATGAACTGGGAATGATGGAATGACTCTCTACCAGAGATTACACGTGCTGCTGAGGATTACAGACACAGATGAGAGGTTTTTACTGACTGTGGGCTATATTTTGTGTTGTTTTGAACCTAAATAAGTATGAAATGTATAATGTGTGTAGTTTTTCTGTAGTTGGTAACATTACGGAGACTGTAAGGGGCTGTGTGTGTTCATATATGTTCATTTATTTATTTATGTTATATAATTACAGACGTTACAGTAGGCTATTTCACGCTGTCATTGATCTGCAGTTTTAATCAACTCATGGTTATATAAAAGTTAGAAATAAACATTTATACAGAAGTATTTTTGTGTGTAAAGCGTCTGTTTTGTGAGAAGTGCTTCTTATATGAAATGTGAGCGACACGTGCAGCTTTACTGTAGACATTTATTCGAGCGAGAATGATGCGACTTCTTGTTGTCTTCTTGATGTTGACTTCTTTTTTATAATTGTGTGCAGTTCATGTACTTAATAATTTGAAAGCAACAGGTTTACTTTTTTAAGTTTATTACATCTTGAAGGATCCCCTTTTAAGTAAAAGTCAAATGTATGACATTTTGTTAAATTACAAATATGAAGCATTAAAAATGGTAATGCACAGGATTTATTTTGCTAAGGGGTTTTGAATGACCCAGTTAGCCACTTGTTTACAGTTTTAGCAATAATCTACTTTTCCCAAACTTAGATTTACTTAATAATAATTTAAAAAATATTGGATTGTAATGTGCCATACATTTGAGGAGCAGTATTAAGAAATGTATAATGTAGAGTTTTAGCTGATATTTAAATACATTTTATGTATGGTTTTAAAAACCGCATAGATTTATATTACAAGATTAACATCCCATTTTGATCATAAATATATGTAACTGCAACAAATTGCAGATAAGATAGAAATGTAATAAGATAGAACCAAATACACTGCTCAAAAAACACACTCATAGGCCAACATTTTCAAAATTACATGATTCTGAGTTTTTAAATACAGTTGAAGTCAGAATTATTCAATAGTATCTGGATGCAGCCTTTATGGCGCAAGCTGAGATTGCATCACTCAGCGATGCAATGTTAGACCCAATGCACTCAAATGGAGTGAGTGACATCACTGTGACTGGTAGAGTTAGGGTTGGGGCTAGGTGAGCCCATTAAAAAAATTTGGATGCAGCTCAGATGGCACTGCACCAGGTCTGCATCAAGACCCCCCTCCAATTATTAGCCTCCTTTTAATTTTTTTCTTTTTTTAAATATTTCCCAAATTATGTTTAACAGAGCAAGGAAATTTTCGCAGCATGTCTGATTTTCATGTCTGTTTTCTTCTGGAGAAAATCTTAATTGTTTTATTTCGGCTAGAACAAAAGTAGTTTTTATAAACAAATAAATAAATAAATGTAAGGTCAAAATGATTATACCCTTTAAGCAATTTTTTTGATATTCTGCAGAAAAAATAACTTGCCTAATACAATAACTTGCCTAATTACCCTAACCTTCCTAGTTAACCTAGTTAATTAAATGTCACTTTAGGCTGTATAGAAGTTTCATAAAAATATCTAGCAAAATTATTTACTATTATTTACTATTTAAAGATAAAATAAATCAGTTATTAGACATGAGTTATTAAAACTATCATGTTCAGAAATGTGTTGAGAAAATCTCTCTGTTAAACAGAAATTGGGGGAAAAAAATAAACGGGGCTAATAATTCAGGGGGGCTAATAATTTTGACATCAACTGTATATAGGCTAATGTTTATTAAGTTACATTTTAGGCATGCTTGTTTGTTATTTCTATTTTATTTAATGATTTTTGTATTGTGAAACCACTCTTGACAACGTCGAATTGATCTCCGTATCAGTTGTGTTGATGATTTATGACTCAAATTCATTGACAAAACATACAGAAATTCATTCTGGGAATGCAGTTTAATAGACAAAAATTCAGTATTGGAGGTAAGTGTCGAATAAAGCACAACATAACAAATTTCTTTCATTATAATACTCATAAATCTTAAAAAATATATAAACAACTTTTGGTGATTTATTCATTTAACGTGAGCGGTATAACAAACACATTCACTGTCATGCTCTGACGAGTGATGTGAAGGATGTTTTACCTATTTTGTCCAGAGAGAGGCACCAGTCTCAGCTTTATTACGAGATATGAGCACAACAATAATAACACTGACCGAGCATAACCTGCTGCCCAGTTTTATTCAGGGTGGAGGTCATCTACTGGCCAGCGTTCAAGAGATATTTAGGTAGGCCATTGCTTTGTTTCTGTCTTCTCTTTGTCGGCGACATCCTGTGGCTGTGTTCCCTTCCTCCGTTTAATTAAAGTGATAGTCCGCCTTGTGCAAAAGTAATATGCTAAATTGCAGTAATTAAGACTAATCCTAAAG